ATGTTGGGGTGCCGGGGGGGGTCTCAGGGGTCGAGCCCCCCCTCCATGAGGCGCCGCAGCTCGTGGGGGTCGCGGGGGGGCCCCCCCAGGACCAGGTACCCCCCCAAAAACTGGTGCAGGGCGCGGGGGGGGGCCGAGCGCACGCGCAGCGCCAGCGTCACGTCCCCGCGGAGCCAGAGGCGCACCTGGGGGCACGGGTGAGACCCCTCCCCAAATCCCCTCCCCAAATCCCCTCCCCAAATCCCCTCCCCAAATCCCCTCCCCAAAATCCCCTCCCCAAAATCCCCTCCCCGAATCCCACCGGGGAGAGACCCCCCCCCCAAAATCCCACTGGGGCAAACCAGGGCTGACCAGGGCAAACCAGTGCTCCCAGTCCATCCCAGTCCATCCCAGTCCATCCCAGTGTTCCCAGTCTATTCCCAGTGCCCCCAGTACCTGCCTGCTGTCCCAGTTCCCATCCCAGTCCATCCCAGTCCCTCCCAGTGCTCCCATCCCATTCCCAGTCCCTCCCATCCCATTCCCAGTCCCTCCCAGTGCTCCCAGTCCCTCCCAGTCCCCCCAGTACCTGTCCGCTGTCCCAGTTCCATTCCCAGTTCCATTCCCAGTCCTTCCCAGTCCATTCCCTGTCCCTCCCAGTCCATTCCCAGTACCTGCCCGCTGTCCCAGTTCCATTCCCAGTCCCTCCCAGTCCATTCCCAATGCTCCCAGTCCCTCCCAGTCCCTCCCAGTCCCTCCCAGTCCCTCCCAGTGCTCCCAGTCCCCCCAGTACCTGCCCGCTGTCCCAGTTCACGTCCCAGCGCTCCAGCTCTCCGTAGCTCCAGCCGCGCCCGGCGCCGCCCGCGCCCAGCGGGAGCCGCAGGAGCCGCGAGGGGCCCACGGCCAGGAGCTCGTCCCGGGGGGCGCCCCGGAACCTGCGGACCCCGAAAACTGCTGGGAACCCCCAAAATCCACCTGAGAGCCCCCCAGAACCTGGGGGACCCCAAAACACTGCTGGGAACCCCCCAGAATACAGCTGGGAACCCCCAAAACTGCTGGGAACCCCCAAAATCCACCTGAGAGCCCCCCAGAACCTGGGGGACCCCCAAAACACTGCTGGGAACCCCCCAAACACAGCTGGGAACCCCCA